AAATATGTAGGCATTCCATTAAATAATATATTATTTTTTTAAGACTTCAATTTTATCCATCATGTAGAATACAAGCTAGAGACAACACCAAAAGATTGATATTACACGATTGCACGCATGTGTACCTTGTGCAATTCTGTTTTATTTCTGTTACGACCCTAAACCCGGACCCAATCGTGATGGCACCTCTCGTGAAGACAAGACCAGCCAACTAGTCCAATTCAATTTTTAAACAGTTAAACATTAACAATCAGTCTAAGCATGAGTAAATAAGCCAAAGACTAAACAAAAGATAGTATAATGTATGGAATACAGTCCGAACACAGCCCGATACCGAGATGTCACAAGTCACGAGCATCTATTATGGTCTAAATACATCTGAAAAGTCTGAAATGTACGAAATACGGACTAATGAAATAAAAAGGGAGAAAAGCAGTGCTGCGAACGCCGGCAACTACCTTGCTAAACTCCGATGACTCTGCCTCCGATCAGCCAATACCCGCTACCGGGTTCAGAAATACCTGAATCTGTACATAAGGTGTAGGGAATAAAGTGAGTACTCCAACTCAGTGAGTAATAATCACAATTAAAGTCTGAATGGTAAGAAATCACGAAAAGTGCATCAACATGTTGTATAGAAGCAGTTCAAAAACCAGTAAGAAAGCAATGAAGCTATAAAATCTCTTAAAATATCTTAGCTCAGTTTAAACTTCTTTGAAAATGACTTTCTCAACAGTTGCGCAAATGAATGCAAAACAATTAGTGCAGATAAGCACAGAAATCCGCCCCTCGGTCACAAATACACAATTAAACAGGTACATGACAAGCAAATAAGAAAGATAAGCACATAAGGTTCTCCCCTCGGGCACAATGTCAACAAATCCGCCCCTCGGGCAATATCTCAGAACAATACCAGCTCCTCAGGCAATCACATAGAACAATATCAACCCCTCGGGCTATATCTCACATCACAATGGGTACCCGCGCTTATTGGGGGTGTGCAGACTCCTGGAGGGGCCCCTTATGGCCCAAGCGCAATATCAAGCCATCTCGTGGCATCATATCTAGGCTCTCGGCCTCATATCAACAAGCCACCTCGTGGCGTATATATCTCAGGCCCTCGGCCTCATAATCAAAATCAGTGTATCACCGCTGCAGCGTGCAGCCCGACCCAAAAGTATCCTCACATCACAGGCCATCGGCCTTACTCAGTCAAAAATCACACAAGCCACTCGGGCAACAGTAAAACATGATGCTCATCCCAAAATATGATTTAAAATATCATTTCAAGTGTTAAAGCAGAGTAAACATGGCTGAGTTTTGAGAACAGTGGAAAATAACATGACTGAGTTCAAGCATAAAAATCAAAACAGTGAGGAAACATCAACAAAAAATCCCCAAAGGATTCAAACAGTTGACACGTAGCCCAATATGGCATTCAGCCCAAATAATGATGATAGCAAATAGATTTCAGTCAAATACGTGGTAAAATAATCAATCGGGACGGGCCAAGTCATAATCCCCAATAGTGCACGACCCCACGCTCGTCATCAAGCGTGTGTCTCACTTCAATATAGCACTACGATGTGCAATCCGGGGTTCCAAACCCTCATAACATCATTTACAATCATTACTCACCTCGAACCGGCTAAATCTCTAGCTCGTGATGTCTTGCCCGCATGAATCGACCTCCGGATACTCCAAATCTAGCCACAATCAGTACATAATCATTAAAATATGCAAAGTGAATGAAGCCCACTCGAAAATATCCATTTTTACATCAAAATCCCGAAATTACTCAACCCCCCCCCCGGGCCCACTTCTCGGAATCCGATAAAATTAACATCAATGGAATCCTCATTCTCACACGAGTCTATAAATATCAAGAACATCAAAATCAGACCTCAAATGGCCCCTCAAATCCCCACTCAAAGGTCTCTTAATCTCAAACCCTAATTCCCCATTTTTGCTACTGATTTTATTCCATGGATTTCAAGCTTACAATGATAAAATTCATTATAGAAACAAGTTTAGGATCCAAAAATCTTACCTCCATGAAATCCTCTTGAATTCCCTCTTCAATTAGCTCTCCCAAGCTTTAAAATCGCCCAACAATGGAGGTACTTAGCCTCAAAATCGCGGAATAGCCCTTTAAAATCATTCTGCCCAGGCATAAAAATCCTTCTTCATGAACACGGTCAAATCCTCGCATTCGCGAAGCACAAAATTACTTTGACCAAATTTCCTTCACCGCAAACGCGTGCCACCACTCGCGAATGCGAAGACTTGGCTCTCTAACCCAACACGAACGCGACTCCCTTTCCGCGAACGCGAAGAACAAATAAATCCTCAAACCCAGCTGTTCACTTCCCCTACGTGAACGCGGAGCCTCCCTCGCGAACGCGAAGCACAATGAACACGGAGCCTCCCTCGCGAACGCAAAGGCTAAAATCTCCACCTCACCAGCTAACCTTTCGCGAACGCGAAGGCCAAATGCCTGCAGCACTTAACAGAAATTTTCTGCAACTTTGCAAAATATGAAATGGTCCGATTGACCACCCGAAACTCACCCGAGGCCCTCGGGACCTCAACCAAACATGTCAACATATCCCATAACATCATTCAAACTTGTTCCAACCTTCGGAACGCTCAAAACAACATCAAAACACCAAATTCGCATCGGATTGAAGCCTAAGAATTCCAAAACCTTCTAAATTACGCTTTCGATCAAAACCCCAACCAAACCACGTCCGAATGACCTAAAATTTTGCGCACACATCCCAAATAACACAACGGAACTACTACAACTTCCAGAAATCCATTCCGACCCCTATATCAAAATCTCACCTATCAAACGGAAAACGCCAAAACCTCAATTTCGCCAATTCAAGCCTAAACCTTCCACGGACTTCCAAAATGCATTCTGATCACGCTCCTAAGTCCCAAATCACCCAACGGAGCTAACCAAATCATAAAAATTCCGATCCGAGATCATATACAAACAAGTCAAACATTTCAAATTTCAAGCTTCAACCGAGGATTGTTTCTTCCAAATTCATTCCGATTACCCTGAAAACCAAAACCAACGATTTACATAAGTCATAATACATCACACGGGGCAGGTCACGCCCGAGAACTGAGCAAAGTGCAAAAGCTCAAAACGACCGGCCAGGTTGTTACAATTTCACCCTTTTAAGTAATTGCCTAATTTATGTTGCAGTTTGTCTAATTTCAATCTCTTTATTACAAAGGTCTCATCAAACAATCTTAATTCTCATCAAGTAATCTTAAGCAGGCGCTTTTTGTTGACTTTCTCAAACAGTGCTAATACATGTAGCCAATAATCTTATGTTTTATTTTCTTCCTTGATAGCTGTTTATTAAAATGGATAACTGTGTTTTCGCATGACTTCATTTATGAATATTTAGTGTATTACATGTTTTAAAAATAATAGCATTTGCATGCTTCTTTGTATTCGGTATTTTTCATGTAACATTTTCTTATAAATATTTATATTTAATATTTTTCGCGCAACGCACGGATACTAGTTAATCTTAACATAAAAAAAATAAGGCTCGACAGTTACAAAGCATCTTGTCAATCGGAAGAAAGGGAGCAAAAGACGTGTAACATTCTTCAACGTTTAATAAGTAAGGATAGATCAATTCACGTGATGCCGTCTTATTTGACAATTCATAAAAAGATCCAATCATCGTTCGTTTAGGAATCAAAGATCAACTTAGAGAGAAGAAGCATGATTATTCAAAATTGCATTCCTATATGTTGATTACTGAAATATCTTTTTAGATAAGTAATTATTTATTTTTCCCACTCATGATGAAATACGTCCAAACAACTATTCAAAGAATCAATAACAATTGTTAAACATAATCCTGTTAATTAATACTATAATTTATTTAATCATGTATTACTTCAAATAATTAAATGGTATTTCATACTTTATATAATTGCGACAGTTTATTGTAATAGTACGTATTTTAAAAAGAAAAGGACAGGAAACTGCGCAAAAAGAAGCTACAAAACTAGTTGGTGTGTTGAATATATTAGTTATAAGATGTTATATTTGGCTTCTAAATACAGCATAAGTTTCGTATTCGCTTGATCACCATTCCGCTCCCCACTAGCATTTGAAACTCAGATACCTCAAGTTTAATCTTCAAAAAGTTATAGTAATGAGTACTAATGACTATACAAAATGACAACTCAATCTCAATTTGGATTCTATAGCCCGCCTTTTCAATCAAATACCTCTGTCTCAATTAATACTACTTCTAAAAATTAGAGTAAAGATCTAGGTGATATATATGGACAATTTTCGATTTTTTTTTCTTTTTTAAGAAAGTCTATTCTGAGGTTTGCATTCTGCTGTCAAAATACTCAATTAATCAACGGTCCATAGATGTACATATAAGGCTTTAATTTTGCAATGCACGTAACTAGGAATTTCTACAATATAAAGCTACAATTGCTTTCAAACCAAGTGTCTTGTCTTTTCTTTCTATTCATATTGGTTTTCAAAAGAAAGCTATTCTCCACCTACCAAATTATGACAGCAACATAATATATCACAAATTTTCTACAAATTTCTTCTTTGTTGTTTTCAAGAGATCAGTTTCTGATTATATTTCAAGAGAATTTCTCTCTTTACCTTTATACTGTTAAGATGGACTTTGGATAATTGGGTCCTAACTCAACCCCAAGAGAAATCACATGACTCAAGATCATTTAAGAACTTAAGAAACAATTTAATACACTTACAAATAAGTGTTAATTCAGCTAAGGGATCAACTTTATGACGGAGACAAATTCAAAAATGACGCAATGGAGGTAGCGTATATATAATTGAACCAGAAAAAAGGTTGATTGTAAACATTTTCTCCAATTATTGAGGTGAACCAATTTGAGAACTACTGTATAAAGTATCACTATATATCCTTTTAACGTGAAACAATTTGAGATTTTGATAAGACTGAAATACTAGAAGGTTTCAAAGGAAAATATGTAATTCCCAAATCACAAGGTTCAGTACCACTGGCGTTCTAAAGTCCTAATCAGTCACATGCTAATTCTTCAACTTCTTTGTATATATACAAGTTACGAAATCCATTTTAAATATATATAATATCCACCAAAAACATCCTTTCCTTCTTCCAAAAATGGAGCTTCAATCTTCTCCTTTCAATTTAATTTCTTTGTTCCTCTTCTTTTCTTTTCTTTTTATTCTAGTGAAGAAATGGAATGCCAAAATCCCAAAGTTACCTCCAGGTCCGTGGAGGCTTCCCTTTATTGGAAGCCTCCATCACTTGAAGGGAAAACTTCCACACCATAATCTTAGAGATCTAGCGCGAAAATATGGACCTCTCATGTACTTACAACTCGGAGAAATTCCTGTAGTTGTAATATCTTCGCCACGTGTAGCAAAAGCTGTACTAAAAACTCATGATCTCGCTTTTGCAACTAGACCACGATTCATGTCCTCAGACATTGTGTTTTACAAAAGCAGGGACATCTCTTTTGCCCCATTTGGTGATTACTGGAGACAGATGCGTAAAATATTGACTCAGGAACTCCTGAGTAACAAGATGCTCAAGTCATATAGCTTAATCCGAAAGGATGAGCTCTCGAAGCTCCTCTCATCGATTCGTTTGGAAACAGGTTCTGCAGTGAACATAAATGAAAAGCTTCTCTGGTTTACGAGCTGCATGACCTGTAGATTAGCCTTTGGAAAAATATGCAATGATCGGGATGAGTTGATCATGCTAATTAGGGAGATATTAACATTATCAGGAGGATTTGATGTGGGTGATTTGTTCCCTTCCTGGAAATTACTTCATAATATGAGCAACATGAAAGCTAGGTTGACGAATGTACACCACAAGTATGATTTAGTTATGGAGAACATCATCAATGAGCACCAAGAGAATCATGCAGCAGGGATAAAGGGTAACAACGAGTTTGGTGGCGAAGATATGATCGATGCTCTACTGAGGGCTAAGGAGAATAATGAGCTTCAATTTCCTATCGAAAATGACAACATGAAAGCAGTAATTCTGGTAAGTTTTGATCCTATGTCATTATCATATATTGTTCTTTTTCTACTTTCTTTTTAATAGATTTAAGTTATATACTATAAATAATTCTTAATAAATGCTTATTGTATACGTTGTTGCAGGACTTGTTTATTGCTGGAACTGAAACTTCATATACTGCAATTATATGGGCACTATCAGAATTGATGAAGCACCCAAGTGTGATGGCCAAGGCACAAGCTGAAGTGAGAAAAGTCTTCAAAGAAAATGAAAATTTCGACGAAAATGATCTTGACAAGTTGCCATACTTAAAATCAGTGATTAAAGAAACACTAAGGATGCACCCTCCAGTTCCTTTGTTAGGGCCTAGAGAATGCAGGGACCAAACAGAGATCGATGGCTACACTGTACCTATTAAAGCTAGAGTTATGGTTAATGCTTGGGCGATAGGAAGAGATCCTGAAAGTTGGGAAGATCCTGAAAGTTTCAAACCGGAGCGATTTGAAAATACTTCTGTTGATCTTACAGGAAATCACTATCAGTTCATTCCTTTCGGTTCAGGAAGAAGAATGTGTCCAGGAATGTCGTTTGGTTTAGTTAACACAGGGCATCCTTTAGCCCAGTTGCTCTATTGCTTTGACTGGAAACTCCCTGACAAGGTTAATGCAAATGATTTTCGCACTACTGAAACAAGTAGAGTTTTTGCAGCAAGCAAAGATGACCTCTACTTGATTCCCACAAATCACAGGGAGCAAGAATAGCTTAATTTAATGGAGTTCTTGGAAGAATTAAAGAAGAAGGGCTATATAGGTGAGATTTTTTGTATGGTTGCAAGGTTTTTAGTTCATACAATAAGACAATACATTATATTCCAGTATTGTGTATCATGTATAATAAGGTTCCTTTTGTTTATTATTAGACACAATAATTAATCTAATTTTGACCAATCACATTCACTTTAAGAGCTAGGATCTAGGAATGAATCTTTCAAAAACAAGCTTATGACTGAGGGAACTCAAGACTAACTCAAACAAAGACACTGCTTGACCCAACTTTCACCTCAATAATTTATATCATATCAGCCTCCAGCATCTGCTGAGCTCTTCAGGTTATCTCAAAAAGAATAAACAATATAATATGCTTCATTTTGGAAGAACAATTAAGAATAAGTAATTGTGTCTACTGCAGAATAAAGATTGTAAAAGTAGAAATGTAGAGGTAATTTTTAAGATCAGACTTATCATGATTAGCCTAAGAAAATTCACTGGTTTATCTTTACCAAACTGAGATGTTTAGGAATATTACAAAATGGACATATCCAAGCCAAGAAAAAATCATTCAAGAACTGTGTAAGATGGTTCAAGGTACTTCATTTTCAGGACACCACAAAATTTATACTAGATTGTTCCCATTTCTCTATAAATAAAGCAAGTGGTAATAGCCAATTTCACAGTATTTGTTACAATACCCCCCAAATACCCAATGGGATCAGGTTAGTTCTACTCACAGATATATTTCACAATCAGTATGCTGCAGCTAGTGTTTCTGATCTCAGTTGCAACTTTGTGAGAAATGTCCTGAAAATCAGTGGACTATATTGGCAGCAGTGCTAATACATTCTCCTATCTCCATGTCCCTTTCGTCTATTGTCTTCCGGTTTGGCTCTTCTTGATGAAAATGCCACTTTCGAATCACCGGTCTTCTTGGTGTATCCATGTTTGAGAGCTACAATTGGCTTTAAGTACATCATTCCAGGAGAATGTCTTTTTTCTCTCGGAAGTGCTCTTAACTCTGGCAACCAGTATGCAACAAACTCCCCTTCAGGATCATAGTTTTGAGCCTGAAACATGTAAAAATGTCTTAGAATAATATCTGCTTCAACCCCATTGGGATGGCATAGAGATAGAATTCAGTACAAATCCAGTTCAAGACGTGAACAATTTTATTAGTTACAGAATCAAACAGCACCGTCCAAAATATCAAATAACATAGGCTTTATACACCTTTATTTATTCCCAGAACGTGATTTGACTAAAGAAATGTTTGAACTTACTTGCTTCGGAATGCTGAAGTAACGGTCTTCTCTAGGGTCATTGCCAACACCTGACAGAAATGGAATGATTTTAACCTTCAATTTACAATTTCAACTTCCAGTTCATAGAAAGAAGGAAGCCAGATTTTAAAAAAAAAAAAAAATTAAAGGCGAATCACCTGCTCCATATGTCCAGTTGCCATAGTTGGAGCAAGGATCATAATCCAAGAGGCATGTCTCAAACCATTCAGCTCCCATCCGCCAGTCAATGCCCATATCTCGAATAAGAAAAGAACACACAATCTGGAAAAATGATAAAATAATTAGAATGCGGTAAATTGATGTCTTTGTTGATGAATTTATCTTCCAGAACTGTTTACCAGGTAGCAAACTAGCACGTACTTTTTCCAAACATTAAAAAATAAAGTGCATATGTACCTGTCGTCCTCGATTTGACATGAATCCAGTAGTAGCCAGTTCTTTCATGTTGGCATCAATTAAAGGATACCTACAGATTTTGCAATGGGAAAATTACCAATTTTGCATCCCATGAAATGTAGAACATATTTATTTTCACATGTTATCCTCAGATTTGAACTTCCCACTGGGAATCCCATTTGAGATTGAAGAGAAAGGATCAGTCAACATGCAAGGTATGAAGGCAGACGAGGATCTAGGATTTGAACTTTATAGGTTCTAGTTCGGCATTCTACCAAATGGTTCGAGCCAAAACTATTAGGTTCATCCCAACTCATAACTAAGCCTTTGCATCAGCCCCTGTATGAAGGTAATGTATTTATTAAACAACAGGTGCTTGGCCAGCCCCTAATAGGAATTTACCCGGTTTGACCTCGTCTCCAGGCATCAAACATGGTTTGGTCTTGGCTCCAGTTAATATCTACTTTTCGGGGACCACCTAAACGGGAAAAAAACAAACAAGTAAAGAATAAAGATATACTTCCAGATGTCGATAATAGCCAGACGAAAAAAGAAGAATGAAGCTACAGAATATTTATATATACTAGATAAAAAGCAGGCAGCAATATTCCTCTTGATGAGTTAATTAGAAAATGGGGTGTGTTAATATGCATTCAGATAAGAATGTCTTTTTTACCCGCATGAAAAAGCAAATTTCCTTGCTTGATTGAGAGAAATCTGAAGTAATCCCTCCATATCAATTCAAACAAAACCCTGAAAACATAAATCATGCATCAAATTTACACCTATCAGTTGTATGAATATTGTGAGGAATATAGGGCATCAGATTATTTGATACTAACAAACTATATTTATTAGATTCAATCTTCTCACTGACTTCTTCAACATAGAAAGGCACAAAAACCATACAAGCATGATCGCAAGCAAAGCGAGAGGAAGAAGGGAGGAAGTTATACCAGTATGTCGAATCATTTGATTGTCTTTCCTTCTCGTATCTCTTCACCTTGACAAGTCAAATGAAGCTCTCTTAATTTCTACACTTTACTAGCATACAAAGGTTGTTAATGAAACGTTACAATATGAGATGACGTTCTCTACCTCTTCATATATAAAACGAGGAGATAGGCTTCCTGAAGCAAGCCAAGGAGAGAACTTTGTAGAATAATCAGGTCCTAACATTCCATTTCGTGTCACTTTATACACTTTCAATAAATCCTGCAATCAATCAAAGATCAGAAGAATTGGAATATGTAGAGTCATCATTCACCAAGGCCGCATCTCTCTACTAGAAAGCAGTAAAAATATCATGTCAGCAAATCTCCCAAGTCGTGGCCATCTAGTAGATGAACTATAGTAGAGTAGAAACAGACAAAGGTTTAATTTCAGAACACCAGGTAATTTTGTCACTGTTTAAGACGCGTAGGGACCAATGCAGCACCCAAACGCATGACGATCATAGAAAACATAGTGATCAGAAAAGAGAGGGGATAACCCCGCGCATGAAGTGTTTCCGGCTAGTGCCCATATAGGGGAAGGGTGGACATCTACCCTATGCAGCTTTACCCTTGCACTTGCACTAGTAAGGTTATATTTTGGGCATGTGAAGTCCCATCCGCTTCCAACCAAGAGGTTGTGAGTTCGAGTCTCCCCAAGAGCAAGGTGGAAAGTTCTTGGAGGGAAGGATGTCGGGGGTCTATTTGGAAACAGCCTCTCTACCCCAGGGTAGGGGTAAGGTCTGCGTACACACTACCCTCCCCAGACCCCACTAAGTGGTATTATACTGGGTTGTTGTTGTTGTTGTTGTTGTTGAAGTCCCATCGGGATGATTATGGGTAAAATAGTTGTTTCAAAATCAAGATGGAAAGTGAGGTACATAAGATTTGACAAAATCGATCAAGTTTGCAGAAGGTCTGTCTTTCAGCAAGGTTTAGTAAATATATGTAAGGAATTTGGGAAAACTCAAAGCATGGAAGTTGTAGGCCTTTGAAATAGCTTTCCAACGATATATTATGGAGCCCAAACGGATCTCTATGCAAAAGGTTATGCGCGTTTTACAGAACGGTATGCGATATGCGCGCCGGTAGCGTGCCCTTAGCGCGGCCGCGCTAATTTTGAGGCAGTGTTACTGCCGTTTAGCGCGGTCAGTAGCGCGGGCAGGCCTCCAGATGCGCGGGCGCGCTAGTGGGGGGTCATTTTAAAGCCATATTTCGTCCCCTACAGCCCCAAAACATAAAAACTTGCTCTAGATAGGAGAACTCTCAAAAACCTAACTCCCTAAGGGTCCTTCCACCACCCAAGGTAAGTTCTAATGGTGATTCTAAGTTAATTTCAATATCCCAACATCTTATTAACATGGGTAAACCCTCCATATCATTAGATATTCGTTTGGGGCATCATTGTTGAGAGAAGAAACCCTAGAACTCGAATTCAAGAAGATTGAACGTCAAAAAGGTAATGTCTTCACCCTCTAATTGATTCTAGCATTGGATTAATGATTACTGACTCAAGTTCATGAGATATGAGTTGATGGGTTTGATAGAAAAGCATGAACAATTATAGGTTTGGCTTGTTGATTGTTGATTATTGGTTAAGGGTGTTGTTTACCTTATGGGTGATAAAGAATAATATTGATTATAACCATTTGAGACTTTAGAATTTATTTAGGAGCAAGAGAATGAGTCATTGGGTGTAGAAACACCATTAATAAGGACTATGAAGCTTTATGCCACCAAGTGTTTGAGAAAATGCCTAAGTGACCAAAACATGAGTATTATTGCTAATATGGAATCCCTTTGACTTGTATTGATATAGATTGAAGTTGAAGGGGTTGGCGAATGTTGTATTATGCTCAAGACAGGAAGTTAAGGTATGTGAGGCTAACTCTCTATGTTTGGGAATATTAATGATTCTCCCTACACTACGTTTCTTTTACGATGTATCAATTGCCTCAAAAAATATAGTTAAACCTAGTTCCTTGAATAGTTGTAGAGCTTCTATTCTCTAGCTTCATAACTCGTTCATGACTTTCATTCTGAACGTTGTGAGCTCAGTACGTATTCAATATAGACTTGGGTTTGATGCCCCCGAGTCTTAGTATAGATTACTCAGTATACCATAAACAGTTGAAGTTTCAGTGTTCATAATCAGTTCAAGAATACATGTCTCAGTCTAGTCCTATTCAGTATCCCAGTATTATGTAACTCAGTGTGATTCAGTATTTCACTATCATATATTGCAGTATGATTCTCAGTTCCTGATTTTAAATCCCTGAATGTTGAACACTTGTATTTGGGCCTAAGGCCGCAGTTTATGCATTATGCATCTCTGGGCCTGAGGCCGCAGTTTATGCTTTATGCATCTTTGGGCCTGGTGCCACAGTTTATGTTTTATGCATTTTGGACCAGAGGTCGCAGTTATGTATACGTATACTTGGGCCCGAGGCCACAGTTTGTGCACATATATATGTTGGGCTGAGGCCGCAGTTTAATATTCGGATAAACAGGTTGTTCATCATTCAGAAGAGGGAGTATTCATATCCTTACTTCCTTTCAGTTCAATTATTAGTTACCGTTCAGTTATCAGTTATCATATAAGTTATCAGTTATCAGTTCAGTTACCAGTTATCAGTCCAGTTATCATTTATTAGTTATCATTTCATTTATCAGTTATCAGTTATCATTTCAGTTTCAGTTTCAATAGTTATCATTTCAGTTATCAATTAAAACTTCTCAGATATCAGCTTAGTTTCAGTTTCAGCATTTATAATACTTTCTTTCAGTTGCCTTACATACCAGTACAATTCAAATGTACAAACGTCCCTTTTTGCCCGGGGCCTGCATCTCACAATGCAGGTAATGATTTACAGGTCGACGACGCAGAGCGCTAGGATTCTCGTACCAGCTATTTGGTGATCCCCAGTTCTTTCGGGGCATTATCATTACTTTACAGCCTTTCAGTATTTACAGATAGTCAGTGTTTTCAGTACATCAGTAGAGGCTTCATAGACTAGAGTGACAGTTAGACAGAGTCTCAGACTTTTCATATTAAGCTATGTTGGCTGCAAATATGTTTCAGAAATGTAATAGTATTTCCGCAATTTAATTTATATCATCCAGACTTTCAGTATATCAGCATGTGTTAGTTTATCTCCGCATTCAGTATGTTATGATACCACATGTTGATTCAGCCGGCCAGTTGGTTCGCTCGGTCACATGTAGTCAGGCACCGAGTGTCGTGTTACGTCCAGACCCAGGTTCGGGGCGTGACAAAGCTTGGTATCAGAGCACTAGGTTCAAGAGTCCTAGGGAGTCTATGAAGCCGTGTCCAGTGGAGTTTCCTTTATATGTGTGTGTCGGCCACTCATATAAACGGTTAACTACCAAGACATCCAGGATTGTCTCATTTCTTTCTACTTCTAGATCATGCCATGAAGCTTAGAGCAAAAGGTAACCTTCTCTTCCTATCGAATTCCAAACGTATTGGATGCCCAAGCGATGCGCAGGAGAAACCTAAGGTCCTAAAGAGGATAATTGCCCATTGGGGTAAATTATGGAGTACAGGTTGGTAAATATGAGACTTGAGAGGATGTTAAAAACGGGATGCAATGGATAGTAGAGCAGATTAGAGCATAACTTTATCAGAAAGTACAAAAGCAGTTATCATGTCATATGGTTATCAGTTTCCAGTTATACAGTCTTTCAGTTAGCAAGTTTATGATTATTCAGTACGCCAGTATTCAGTTATATGGTTACCAAATATCCATTTTCAGCGTATCAAAATTTCTGGTGACTTGTGAGTATACAGTGATGCATATGGGTTCTCAAAGAAAATGTAAGTAACAATGATTATAGAGAAATCTTCACATGTTTTAGGGATTAAGACCCAAGACTCACTGGATGGTGCATGAAGTGATTTATCAGATGTGTGTGGTAGTGTATATGTATGTCAGACCCTACAGTGTAGCAGGTTAAGAATTTGACCGCAAATGGCCTAGAATACGTCATTATAGTTTTGGAAAAAAAGGGAGACTAAGGGGAAAATACTTAGGAGTCAGAAACGTTTGTTATTACCAAAGATGTGATTTCGTACAACTCATGCAAATGACAAGAAGATATGATGTATGAAACGAGAACCAAGAGCAGCCAATATTGAATTTCAGGGAATGATTTTAAGTTGTTTAGAATTATTCAAATCAGAACTAGAAGTACCACGCTAGTAAGCTACTATAAGAAGCAGTTATTGACATAAGATAAAAGATATGGCAGTTCCCCCTTAGGTTATGTGACTGAGTGATTACCGCGGATGTTTATAGTATGATATGATTTTGTATTATATAGAAAGTTTGGGGTTAGATATTCTAATTTTGTTCAAGACAGATGAATTTCCCTAAGTGTGATCCATGTACATAGTTCAAAAAAATGATAGTGTGTGGCAAAAGAATATGGTCAGATGATAAGGGAAGTTAGGAGTAACCTTATGCTTCATTTTAGTTATTCAAAGCAGGAAAAGAAAATATGATGCTAGCAGGTGGTTAGTAAAAGGATATTAAGTAAGTTTTGAGTAGATACAGTGAATTAGCAATTTCAGCTGAGCTAGTAGAGGTGAGATTTGATCCACTTAGCCAGGTTATCTCTAGTGAGTGGATGGCAGTTTGAAAATACTGAACGTATGTGTCAGAGCCCAAAGAGTTTAAGTTAAACCCGAAGTACAGTGGTAGTGGAAAAAAAATCAGCTAGCAGTGAGAGAGCAAACTATAGAAGAATAGCCTTTAGGAATTATCGAAATGTGATTTCTCCAGGATTGACAGTGTGGGCAGAGTTAAATTAATACGATTATGTAGGATAGTTATGAAGACATAAGCTTTCCGTTTATGTAAATAATTTAGTTTTTCCTAGTAAGAAAGATTTCTCAGAAGTAAGTTGGGAGATGAGTCATCATTAACGTAAAGTGCAAAGAGTTGCAGAAGATAAAGAAAGTTGTTAGAATCCCGAAAAAAAAGGAAGGATCCGCAAGTATAAGACTTTTGGTCTAAGGGGTGATGTGAAATTTTTTTTGCAAGTCCAGTTAGTGATTTGAAACCCAAATAGTCAGCATGGGATATGAAAAAGAAAATTAGTTCGGTAATGAGGGAAAATTGTATAATTACCACAGGGATTATATATAGCATGTGTAAGAAACACAAAGTGAGTAGAATTATCACCGAGCTTAGTTATTGATGATAAAGTGATCAAAGAAAAGC